CCCGGCCGGTAGCGGTGCGGCTTCTTCACGCCGCCCGTGGCCGGCGCGCTCTTGCGGGCCGCCTTGGTGGCCAGCTGCTTCCTCGGGGCCTTGCCACCCGTCGACTTACGGGCAGTCTGCTTCGTACGGGCCATAGCCAAACAAGACACAAGCTTACCGACGCCGCAGCAGGGGGAGTAAACGCGATCCCGGCCCGCGGCAAGCAGTCTTTATAGGCACAGTCTTTTCCCGATTGGGCGGGACAGTAATTGAAAGTCCCGCGCTGGCTGTCCATTGGCTGTGACGTTTCCCGTCCTAGAGTCACCGGTTGGCTTGGGCAGAATCCTCTCTAACCCCGCCTCCCCGCCTCCCTTTCTGTTTTGCGGTTGGCCAACAGTTTTCCAACCTTGTTTTTTCCTCATTCTTCCACGATGAAAGTCATTTTCAATTGCAGCTTTGTCAGATTGTTCCTCCCCAGCCCTTCACCTCCTTAGAACACGCTCCCCACCGTACCCCTTTTTCCTTTCTTCGCTGCGTAGCTCCCAAGTTGAACCCCGACCTTCCGTCTGTGTCCCCCTACCCCAGCTGCTTCTTGGCGGAACGTTTTCCGCCCGTTCGGCGCTTTTCTGATGGGAGAGTTGCCCTCCTCCACGGCGCAAGATTGCGCCTCCGAAAGCCTAACAGGAGAACCTGTGTCTCTGCTGCGAAAGCCAAGCGCTGGGGGGCGGGAGGCGGGGCGGAAAGACTAACCCAGCCGTTAAGCCAAGACCCAGCTCCCCCGCACTCCCGAAACCTGCGCGTTCCCCTATCGACGGGGGCTGGGGAGCATGCTGGTGATGGCGAGCACGCACCCCCACCCCCAACACTAGACCTCATCTAAGTATCGGCAAAGGGCCTGCGGGAACGGCTGAGGGCTTGACGTCAGGTGCTGTCTGTAGCGCTAGTGTTCATGACCGAGCCGCCCGCGGGCGCCTTAGGTGTTTGGGGCCTCCACCTGCGCTACTAAGTCCTAAGACTTAGGACTACAAACAAAGGTAGTGATGGGTCGAGACCCGAGGTGGGAAGCGGCTGGGAGCAAGGGGCAAATGGTTCCGCCGCCACCCACACCTTCCGTTATCTCCGGGTTCGGCATTTACTACTAAGAAAAAGGGAGACCGAGGAGACTAGCCAACGTAACAGCTCTTTATTTGAAATAGTGGGTGGCTCTGAAAAGAGCCTTTGATTTCACAGGGGATCCCTATCTGAGATGCGGGCTGGGCTGGGCTTCCGGATGCAGGCCTCACTTGCCCTTTGCCTTGTGGTGGCTCTCGGTCTTCTTAGGGAGCAACACGGCCTGGATGTTAGGCAAGACGCCGCCCTGGGCGATGGTGACCTTGCCCAGCAGCTTGTTCAGCTCCTCGTCGTTGCGGATGGCCAGCTGGAGGTGACGGGGGATGATGCGCGTCTTCTTGTTGTCTCGGGCCGCGTTGCCCGCCAGCTCCAGGATTTCCGCGGTCAAGTACTCGAGGACCGCCGCCATGTAGACGGGCGCGCCGGCCCCCACCCGCTCGGCGTAGTTGCCTTTGCGCAGCAAGCGGTGCACTCGCCCCACCGGGAACTGAAGGCCAGCGCGGGACGAGCGCGACTTGGCCTTGGCACGGGCTTTGCCTCCTTGTTTGCCACGGCCAGACATGACAGCGACAGTCACTGCAAGAAGCTCCCGCTTGACGACCGAGAAAGTCGCCCCAAACGGCTCTGCTTCACCCTTTTATAGGCAGAACGCGGCTTGTCCACGGAGCACTCTGATTGGCTAAAGCATAGCTTTGTCCCGATGGCCAATAGGCTTGCTCAGCCAGAATCCATTCATTTACATAATCTCGTCTCCTGGCTTTGGCGCCGCTGAAAATGCGCCAATCACAACGCAGCGTAATCGGAACTTTAATTTGCGTATAGCCTCTATAAGTACAGAGTCGTTTCCGGTAGACCCCGTTCTAGTCCTACTGTTGCGCTTGCGGTCTTTGCTGCTTGTGCTTGTCGCTATGCCTGAGCCGGCGAAGTCCGCTCCGGCTCCTAAGAAGGGCTCCAAGAAAGCCGTCACCAAAGCCCAGAAGAAGGACGGCAAGAAGCGCAAGCGCAGCCGCAAGGAGAGCTACTCCATCTACGTGTACAAGGTGCTGAAGCAGGTCCACCCGGACACCGGCATCTCGTCCAAGGCCATGGGCATCATGAACTCGTTCGTCAACGACATCTTCGAGCGCATCGCCGGCGAAGCGTCCCGCCTGGCGCATTACAACAAGCGCTCCACCATCACGTCCCGCGAGATCCAGACGGCCGTGCGCCTGCTGCTGCCCGGCGAGCTGGCCAAGCACGCCGTGTCCGAGGGCACCAAGGCGGTCACCAAGTACACCAGCTCCAAGTGAGTCTCTGCCGGGACGCGGCGCTCGCTCGCGCGAGTGGCCGGCCTCTTGACCCCAAAGGCTCTTTTCAGAGCCACCTATCTCCTCCCTGAAAGAAGCTGTCATGTGTCGTCCCTCTCACTTTTCTTTTTGGCATCTCCTCTAGTTAAGAAAGTCAACAACTGACCGGGCGCGGTGGCTCACTCCAGTAATCCTAGCACTCTGGGAGGCCAAGATGGGATGATCGCTTGAGGTCAGGAGTTTAAGAAAGTCAACTGGACTAAGTAGGAGCATCCGTGTCTCATCTGTTTAAGCATTGGTGTAGGCATGCTTACCTGGGTTAGTGGATGAGTCTTAACCTACAGATATGCTGGAGGTTGCTAGAGAAGACTACCTGAAACTGATTTTAGCTTAACCTTTAGCTGTGAATATGTGCTCAATAAGTTGTTTTCTAGATAAATGCTGTGTTAATTCTGATGTTTGTGCAAGATAGAAAATTGAATGAACAAAGGTACAACATTTTAGTCTTTAACAGTGGCGAAATGGTGCTTCTGAGGTGGGTCCTAGCAAATAATTCAACTTGCATATATGGTGCCTAGAAATTTCGAATTTGTGTCCTTGGTTCACAAGCACGTGCCTACACCATTTATGTGAAGATTCCTCAATGAAGTAAATGGAATCCTGATTTTGATAACGCAGGAATTAACCGATAATGCTGGTGCCATCTATGCCTTCCACTTCACATACCCTAAAATCCGCCTAGTATTATATGGTGGGGTTTTTTTCCCCCAAGAATTACTCAGAAAAGCTTGTCCTACTTAAGCATTAGTTTCATACAGTGGCAACAAAATATGCATAATTTTTGAAGCCACAGTTTGAAATGCTTGAGGGGCAGAAAGACTCCCAAATACAGTGCAAGGGAGGTTGATTTGGCTTTGTTCTCAGTGCTTTGGGAGCACTTGTACTACTAAAGGTAGGAAGTGGAATAACACAATCTCGTTAGCTTTAAAGATCATGCTTGTTGCTTTGGGAATCATAACTCCTAGGCTGGCCACAGTAGGAGCAAGGAAACCCAATTAGGAGGCTGTTGCAGTGTAGGCTAGAGCAATGATTCTTAAAGTCTGGTGTGCCAACCAGCATCTATTAAAAATGAATATTGTCAGTTCCCAATAATTGTGTTAACAAGGTCTCAGGGTGACTGAGGAATTCTAAAGTGTGAGAACCACTGGATAGATACGTTGGATTGGAGTGCAGTGGTAGTAATGGAGACATAAATGTTGGATTATGTTTTAGAGGTAGAATCAATAGGTCTTGCTGAAGAATAGAATTGAGGTAACAGTGAAACCCCTAGATGTTTGGCTTGAGCAATTGGGTAGAGAGTGGTGCTGTTAATTAGGTTGGAATACTGGGAGAAGGTATTGGTTGGGACACTGAAGGGGAAGATCCAGAGTTCTCATTTTTCAGAAGCCGTTTGATATGCAAGTTTTTTTTTTTTTTTTT